ATGAGCAGCTGAGTCAGAAATGCCAAATTTAAATGTGCATGTGCTCCAAAGTGGGAGAGGAGCAGCCCTGGAAGTGGGGAGGGTGCTGGTCCTCATAGACATGGAAAACAGCAACAAGGGTTAAAGGGGAAAAAGAAACCACATAAAAAGCCCGACTAATGGCAGACCTGGCAGAGGAAACTCGTGCCTGGGGTGCAGGTTTGTGGTTTGCAGGTGTCTGAGAATCCCTTACAGAGGATTTACCTATCAGAGTGTCACCCCGAGCAAAACAAAGATATTTTGCTCCTGTGCAGGAATTGTTCTTAAAGAAGGAAACCACGAGCCCAGCCAGCACTCTGGGCAGTAAACACAGCATTTGTTTCTGTGTTCTGAACCCAAAGAAAGTTTCCCATCAATATTTTGTGTTTCTGACCTTGAAGTTTCGGGGTTGTGCCTATTTTTTTTTTGTATGTGTGTTTTTCAAACTGGAGCAGCTTCTGTTTCGGTGCAATGTTCTTATTAACAGCTGATTGGATTCCTTGAACTGCTTCTTGTCCTCGTGTGCTTTTAGCTGCAGTCCTTTCTAGCTGAATTTCTCGGGTTAAAACTTGAAATTCTGCCTGGTTTATCTTAAACCCAGGCTCACAAACTGCTGCAAATGGAAAAGCACTGCTAAGTTTGCACTGTGCAGTGAGCAGGAGGAAGGGAGCAGAGGGTGGTTCTAACTCGGGAGGGGAAAAAAAAAGGACTTTAATTCTTCTATGACAAATGATAGGACGTAAGAAAAATTTATTGTTGGTTTTAATGCCTTTTATTTGTTATCAGACTCTTTGTAGGCTGTGAATTGCTCATCTCCTCCCCTGCTATAACCCAGGCAGCTCTTCAGCCCATCTGTTGTTTTCTTTTGGACTCTGGAAACATCTCCTTTATCCATCAGGCCTGTGACTGCTTTTCATCCATTTCCTACTTTTAAATGTTCAGGATGAACCACAAAAAGCAGCTGTGAGTTCATTTTCCTTTCTTAGAGCGTTGTCTTAAGGGTAAAAACAAGTTAAAAGGCAACTTGTGAATAAAATACAGGTGGTAAGTGGAGGGCTGGGCGTGTCCATCCAGGCAGTATTAAAAATTTTAGCTATAATAATAATAATAACAGCAGAGGGAGTTGCTTTTGAGAGCTGGTGTTTTTTTAATTGATCTGGAATTCTAAAAATCAGGAAATGAAAGAAATACACTGGGAGCAGAAGATCTGAAGCCAAGGGTTCCTGCTCACTCAGAGCATCTCCACACCAGAAAATACCCCCACATGTTTCAGTTCAAATGGCTCTTATTTGAAACATCATCCTCTGGTTGATGTGAAAAGAGATGGGGGGGAAGTGCTTTAATTCCCATAAATCACACGAGGAATCCTCTTTGTCAATTAAACAGCTGGAAGTAATCTCAGAGTGACAAGTGTTAAAGTGCCTCAATCCAGGCAATTACACGGGTGATATCCCCCCTCTCCTGGGGGCAGGAATAAGTCAGGATGTTTTCCCAGTTCCCAGAAATCCTGCCGGTGGATTAACAGCCCATAAAATGCTGGCAGGGCCGAGTCATCCTCCTGACAAGTGAGGTTTTTTTACTTCTCCTCTGTAGGTCAGACCTGCTCCAGAGCAGAACTCTCTTGGCTCTGGAAAATCATGGGATGAGGAGGAAATCTTCGGGAAAGGGGAGTATTTCCCACCTGTGGAAATTTTTGCAAGTAAGTTTTATGTTCTTGTTGAAAACAGAAAGGTTTTGATCATTTTTTCCCAGCTTTTCCATCATGTTGATGCAAATCTGCCAACAGGTTTTTATCATCGATTCGAAAGAGGAAAGGTTTGAACCTTCCTAATTCCCGCTTGGATCCATCCTTTGGAAGCGTCAATGTGGAATCAACTGACGATGGAATCACGTGGAATCAGTGCTTGCTCGGTGAAGAGGAACCTGGATATTTGAGGTGATGTCATTTAGGGTCATCCCAGCTGAAGAGCTGGAATTCCAGAGGTGAAGATTAAAAATCATGGAATGGTTTGAGTCGGGAAGGACCTTAAAGATCAATCAGTTCCAACCCCACAAACTTCTGCAGAGGTTCAACATCACACAGACATTCCGGAATTACTCTGCAGAAAAAAATGGATATGAACAAAAAGAGGGTTTTTTTTTTCCCCCCTTTCTCACAGCCTGGCATGGAGGGGATAATTAGATCTGTAATTAGGAACACACACAATAATTGTTGTTTTGTTTATTTGGAAGCAATTTGTAATTCCCTGTCTGCTAAAGGAATGTTAATTAATCCTTTGATGATCTCACTGGGTCCCTTCCAGTTTAGGATACTCTGTGATTCCATGATTAATTTTGACACCTTTTCTGCCAACATCCCTTGGAGGAGATGCCTGGACATGTGAGAGAAAACCTTGATAAACAGAGCAGGGAGGAAAAATTCCATCAGTAAGATTGAATTATTGCTTTAAAATAATATAGAGTTGACACATTTTGGAAAATATTTCATTGCTTTTATTAATTGTTGTAGTAGATTGAACTTTTTCTCACAATGAAACTTTTTTTATCTCCCATTTTCCCCCTCCACCTTCAGCCTGCAAAAAGCTGTTTGAACCACATTTCCCACTTGTTTTTCTCTTTTATTCTGGTAAAATACGTGTTCTTGAGCAACAATTTCGTTTTGAAGGGCTGGCACTTGGGTTTTAGAGCTGCAGTGGCAAAAACTGTGGAAGCATCTAGAAAGATATTTGTTATATTTATTATATTTATTCATTTATTTTGCCATTGCTCCCCAGCAGTGCTGCCTCATGAATTACGAAAAATAAACCAAATTTAACAAAACCCCCCAACACCTAAAATATAAAACAACTAAAAAAAAACAACCTAGTTTTGTCTCTCCACCTGCAGGACTTTTTGCCTCATAAATTAAGATGTTTCTTGACTCTAAATTCAAATCTCACCATTTTTTCCCCCCTTTCTTTCCTCATCCATAAACTTGGAAGCAGCAAATCTTGCCCTGCACGTGTTGTGGAGGAAGGTGCTGAGTTTTACAGTGGAACTGGGTATGGGAAATGCAATAAATTTGTCTGTCAAGCCCTAAACTATTCACAGGATTTAAAGCACAAACTCTCCCAGGGGTTGAATCCAGCAGGGCAAGAAAAATTCCTGTTTCGTGGAATGCTGGTGGAAGGATGGGGGGAAGGGATCCCCAAAAATCTTAAGGACAAATTTCAAGTGCCACATTTATGGACTAAAGCAAAGCTGAGGAAAGGAGGAGGGAGATAAACATGTTTTCCTGGCTCTGAAGGCATTGTGGGGTTCACAACTCGCCAGCAGAATAAAAGGGAGGAGGTTTAATCCGTGAGGAGATAAGGAAGAATTTTGTATTGAGAGGAAAGAGCGCTTTTAACTCAAAATACTTTGTCACAGAGCAATTTGCTGCCTGTCTTTGCACCCAGCAACTCTTCGAATTCAAAGGCTTTTCAGAATGGCTTCAAGTGCTCTGTTAATGTGCAAATGCAGCTCTGTGGAACAGCAAATGAACCCAATTATGATAATTCTCCTGCAGCCTCAGCACTTTGTGTGTTTATCAGACACACTGTGTATTTATCAGAAGCTGCACTTTGTGTTCAGTGGGTGCCACAAAGAGCAGAAAGCAAAGTCTGTGCCCCCACTTTCATCTCTCTGGAGCAAAGAATTTTAAAGCATCCTTCACCAGAGTGCACTGAATTACATCAGGGATCCCCAAATCTGGGGGAGAAACTCTGTATCCAAAGTGCAGGGAAAAGTTATTTCCCGCTGATTTCCCCAGCCTTGGGAATAAACAGTGCTCAGTCTTTCTCTGGGGTTCTGCTCTGAAACGTTTCACCTGCTTTGGGAAAGAAGAATCCCAGTAAAATGTGGTTTTTCTGCAGTGCCACATTGGGAGATTTGTGAAGAGCTGCATTTCGACTGCACAGTTACATAAATGTTCAGCAAAACTGCTCAGGAATTGTCTTGGTAAGTATTTTTATTCTTATCACTGCAGTTTCTTCCTTACTGGATAAAATATTTCCACACGTGGTCCGGGAACTTCGAAGGAATTTAAATATGTGCAAAATCTTTTTTCAAAGCCCCATTTTATAGAGCAGAGAGCTTCCCCCAGCTGATGCTGGGCTTTGTCTACGATATCTTTATTTTAAGCTCATCACAAGATGTACTGATGCCTCAGACTTGGAACAAATTTTCATTCTCCTCTTCAAGAGGGCACAACTTGAGGGAAGGTGAAGATTTCGGGGTTGAACTTTTCAGGTTGCCTTTTGTTTCAAGTCCCAGTTTTGCTGAGAGATTTGCAGGAATTTTCCTGCCCTTTCCAGCAGCAGCTGGTAACTGGGAGAGGGGACTGAGTAGGTGACAGGCAGGGTGATGCTCCTGTCCTTCTCAATTCCCTTATAAAATCATGGAATGGTTTGGATTGGAAAGGACTTTATAGACCATTTCAGCCCTCTGGGATGGGCAGGGACACCTTCCACTGGACCAGGTTGCTCCGAGCTCCATCCAGCTTAGCCTTGAACACTTCCAGGGATGGGGCACCCACATCTGGGCAGCCTGATCCCTCCTTTCCCGGAGATTCCCGGGATTTCCAGGATTTGCGGGCTCGCAGGCCCCGCAGCCTGCTCCCTCCCGCCGCGTCAGCGTTGCCAGGCAACGCCTAAAATGGCGGCGCCCGCGCAAGGCCCGCCGGGAGTTGTAGTCCAGCGCCCCGCCACCCCCGCGTCCCGCCCCTCACGCGGGACTCGCTCTCCCATCACGCCCCGCGGCGCCGCGCCAAGAGCCGAGCGAGCGCCTTTACCTGCGGGGAGCGGGGCACAGGTGGGGCTCGCCGCGGGGGCTGCTGGGAGTCGTAGTTCTAGGCGGAGGTCCCGCTAAGGGAAGCGGGCCGGCGGGCGGCGGCCGCGGGACTACAACTCCCAGGGGGCGGCGGGGGCGGCGGGCAGGGCGCCGGCGGAGGGCGGGGGGTACGAACGGGAACCTCGGCGGTGCTGGCGCGGTGGGGGCTCAGGTGAGGCGGCAGGTGAGGAGCGGGAGGAGGAGGAGGAGGCGGGGACGGGCACGGGAGGTGACTCCAGGGCCGGGCGGAGAGCCCCGGGCGGTGCCCCATTGTTCGCGGGGTCCCGGAGTGGGATTGGGGTTGCCGAGGGGGGGCCAATTCCTTGTGGGGAAAAGCCCCCCCCTTCCTCCCCGATGCTCTGGGAGGGCGGAGGTGGTTTGGGATGAGGGTGAAGATGGGCAGAGTCGCCCCTCGTTGGCTCCTGGTACGTTTGGCAACGAATCCCCTTCTTCTCATCACCCACTAAAACTCTGGGTACTTTATTTCCCAATAAACCAACTCAGTTTTAACGCGATTTTTTTTTTTATGTCCCAACCTGAGATTTTTGGGGTTGTGAGCATTTGGTGTTACAGGTTTTGTTTCTTTGGAGGTTTCCTTTTGTTGCTTTTATGGGTTTTTTTCCCCTAAACTTCCACCCAATACACTGATTTTTTGTTGCACCGTTTGGGGGTAAAAAAGCCCCCAAACCCCTTAAAAAGGCCATATAAACATTGGGATTGTTCAGCCTGGAGAAGAGGAGGCTCTGGGATGACCTAATTGTGGCCTTCCAGAGCCTGCAAAAAAAACATGGAGAGGGACTATTTACAGAAGCTGGAGTGCCAGGACGAGGGGGAATGGCTTCACATTGGCAGAGAGGAGGGTTAGATGGGATATTAGGGAGGAATTATTTACTCAGAGGGTGGCCCTGGCACAGGTTGCCCAGAGAAGCTGTGGTTCTTTTCACTTGGGGCACGTTCAGAAAGCTGGAAAAACGAGTCCTCCTCGAGCTCTACTTTGATAAAAGATTGTTTTGTTCCCTCTCTGATGTTCTGCCACGCAGGTTTGTTGGGAAACAGTTGCAGTGTCGGTGAGGAATTGGCAGCTAAACCGCAAACCTCGGGGGTTTGGTGTTCCCTGAGGAAGATGCAGAGGGACTCCTGTGTGCCTGTTGAGCTGGTAAGTGAGAGTTTAAACCTTTACAGCCCTCTGAGGCTGCATTTTGACCTGTCTGCTCTCAGGATTAATTCAGGGCACGTCAGAATTAAGAAGGGTTTGAGCGTGGAACAGTTTCAAACTCCGACGTGCTGAGGGAATTACGAAACCACCTGAAATTCAGGCGAAGTTTCTTTTTCCAGGTACCTGAAGAAATAAATCCCCTTGCTCAAAATAAATAAATTACAATAAAAAAAAGCTCCAGCAACACTTGAAGCAAGAAAGATACAGCAGAAATAATGGATACACAGAAACTGCAGGCAAAAGAGATAAATTAAAAGAGTGGGAGGAAAAAAAAATCTCTTCCAGTGCTTGGTGTTCGTGAATTGTTTGTGTTCCTTTTACAAAAGCAGCCAGAGGAAGAATTCCCTGAGTGGATGTGTTTCACTTGTGTGTGTGTGTGTGTGTGTGTTGTGAAGCTGACAGTGATTTGAGGTTTGTTTCAGATGGGAAAACTCTGGTGTGAAATCCCCGGTTTGAATCGAGGCGTCTGCGTTGGCTCCCGAAACGCAAACACTGCCTAATCTGGGCTCTGCTTCGTGCATGCCATTATCCCTTCTCCCACCATCCAAAGGGAAAACCCTGCCAAGATGTGAAATGTGGGTTGTTTTTTTTTTATGCTAAATAGCTTGGCTGGGGGCGTTTGATCCCGATGAGATTCACAGATCGCGGAATCACGGGATGGTTTGGCTTGGGAGGCACCTTAAAGATCCTTTTTATTCCCCACCTTCCAGCCACTTCCAACCTGGCCTTGGACACTTCCAGGGATGGGGCAGCCCCAGTTTCTCTGTGCCAGGGCCTTGCCAGCCTCACAAGCAGGAATTGTTTTATTCCCCAATATTTAATCCATACCTTGCTCTCATCCTTCATTTCCAAGCTAAAACTTCAGCTGCTCTCAGGCAGTATATATTAAATATCTTGAAGGCTTTAGGGCTTTTTTTTTTTGTATTTTTGCTTTCTAAATTCAAAATCAGGCTCTAAAATATCCACCCAGTTAGGTTTGATTGGGGCTGGAAAGCAATAAAAGAGTTGTGTTCTTTCCGTGGTTCTGAACAGTGAGGCCAATTAACTGCACAAATCCCTGCTGGAAGGTGCTGCCTTGGAATCCTGCCCTCGATTTACTCCCTGACTTAGAGGTCACAAGCTCTTTCCAAGAGCTGTGGTTTTTAGGAGCACCGTGTATGGTTTTTTTTCTTGTTGCATTTAAAGGATACAGATGCTGAAGGCTGATATTTTTCATGTGAATTATCCTAAAAAAAAAAAAAAAAAAGGCAGATATTTAGTATGACCTTCATGGCTTGAATTCCTGCCTCGTTCAGAGAGAGTTCTATATTATTATATATTATTATCCTAGTTCTATGTTATTATATGTTATTATTCTATATTAATGAAAATATATATCATGTCAATAGGCTGCTAATTTTTACTGGTTGATCAAGAATCCACCAGGATGTGAAGAACTCATTCTGGGACTTGAAGTGAAATACAAACCGAGTAAAAATATAACATTTCTCTCATGTTTAGGAGCTTTAAAGCAGCTTGTTCAGCCCAGCTTTCCTTCCCCAGCCGAGCACCAACCCGTGTAGATACATATTAAGCTCAGATATTGCCCCTTCTCTCGTGGAAATAAAAAAATATTGGCTGATGATTTGAGGGCGGATTGATCCCACGTCCCATTTGTGCTGCAACAGCTGCAGGGCAGATGCCCTGGGTTGTGGCTGGGGAACAAATGCCTGCCCATCAGTGCAGCAATATTGGTGATTGGTGACCTGAGTTATTGCAGGGATGGAAATACAGCCAGCACTGAGCTCATGCTGCGTGGCTGCATCCCCCAAAAAGGAGGATTTGGCACTTTAAAGTGCCTTTTTTCCACAAATATTTGATCATTCAGCACGACTTGGGCGTGGAAATTATCTTTTTAGGTAAGAAGGATCTATTGTTTGAATAAACCTGGGTTTTCTTAGTGTTTTCAGCTGTTATAATAATCAGGTATTGGCAAAAAAAAATCTGTGCAAAGCATCCCAATCAATGAAAAAATTGATTGGCAAACGTTATTTCCAACTTCAAATCATTTTCCCTGGAGGAATTTTTCGACAGCCAAAGGAGCAGGATCTCATTTCTGAAGGGAAATCGTAGAAAACTGTTCGTAGACAAAGCCCGTGTGTGTGTCTAAAATTGCTTTAATATTAAATAATAATTAACAAACCATAATTAACATTATTTTGCTTAAATTGGAAAGGCCAGGACAGTGCAAAATTTTCCTGCTCTGCCCCAGATTAGGAATGAGTCGGAACAGCAAGGCTGGAGTGTGGTTTTCAGGATTTTCAGCCCTTGCTCTTGGAGCTTTCACTGATACCAGGGGATCATAATAAGTTTTCCCACCAAGCTGAACTAATCTTATTTTGAAGTTTGAAGCTCGAAGTGATTTAAGAAAAAAAAAAAAAAACATCCGGAAATGAATCACAGGAACTGCTCAGTGATTTTTGTTCTTCAGAAGAAACCAACTTTGCCAAGGGTCATGATACAGTAATTTCAAACACAGCCAGTGGGTTTCCACTGAACAAAAACAGTAACAAATTTCAGTTTGTGAAATGAGTCACTGAAGGAGTTTTCCCTGACAGTTGGAGGCTTTTTTTTTTTTAATTTCGCTTTGCTCTGTTTTCAGGGTCTTCTCTGTCCCCATGTTTGATTTCTAAGGAGGGAGACTCATTTTCCTAAATCCAGGCTGCTGTTTTTATCTAAAATAAGAAAGGCTGGTTTTTCCTAAACCCAGACTTCTGAGCCCAACCTCCTGTGGAGCAGAGAAGGGGCAGATTTCTGTACTGACACTGCAGATCAAACACCATGTGGTGCCTTTGATTGCAACCAACCATTTACTGATTGATTCCCATTTATTTATCTATGCATTTATTTATTTCAACCAATTTCATGCCAGAAACACGGACCTGGGTGGAGTCAATCTGAGGTGCAGACTGATCACAACACTCTGTTCCAACTCCAGAAGGTCACATCTCAGAAATACACTTAATTAACGGCCGGGCTTCATTAACGCTTCACACCTCGTTAATGCTTCGTGGCTGTGCTGCCAGGGGAGAAGTGAATGGCAGTGGTGCCTTTCCCGGGTGCTGTGTGCTCCGTGTGCTGCTCCCAGTCCATCCCAGTTCCCGTGGAGCCCTCGACTGGGGGTTATCACTGGTGGTGCCAGGCAGGAACCGCTCGTGGCAATGCCCATCGATTTTTTTTCAGATCGGGGGTGTGGAATAACCTCTGCATGGCCCAGTTTGGAGCAGGCTGATAAGGCTCCTTGTTTCTTAGCAACCCCAGCTCTGCCACAGCCAGGAACCTGCCCTTCTGCAGCTGCAGGGGAGAATTCTGAATGTCTCAAAATCAAATCTCCAACCAAGGTAAGTCCTTTCCCCCCCTCCCTGAGCTTAATTTAAATTTACCTCCAATAAAAGGGACGTGTGTGGGGGGGGCAAAAAGTTCCTTAAGAAGGGCAAAGCACAACTTCTGTGTGGTTAATAAGTCATTTCTTTCCCTGGTTTTATTCAGACCTGTGTCTTTCCTGGGCATGGAGGTGCCATATGTCCTTCTCCTAACACGGCTGGTGGCAGAAGTTGCCAGCAAATCCACGGAAAGTTCGGTAGGTGCTTCGTGGTTTTTGTCTTCCCAGGGTGCTACAAAACCAGGATTCCTTCCCTCTCCTGCTGCAGTTTAGAGAAGGTTGTTTAATTCAGCAGAAATTACCTGGAGTGCTATAAAATGAGCACTAAGTGCCACTTTTCCACTGGGTGGGTTTGCTCTGGTTGCAGGGAATTCTCCCTGGCCATGTGCATGGAGGGCAGCAACTGCTAAAGCCTCACCAAAAAACCACCTTAATGATCAAAAAACCCCATTTTTTAACCTGCCTGCAAACAATCCCAACCATGAGTACCCAAAATTAACTTTGACTGAGAGGAGCTCTGAAGCTTCAAGTCACGGAAGAAGAAATTCAGGGCGTAAAATTCTGCTTGAAGGGAGGGTTCAACCAACAAAACTTCTGAAGAAACTGGTTTTAAGCATTTTATCTGTACATCTCCTTGTTTCTTACTGTGCTCCACCTCCCCTGTGATGCACTTGCAGTGTGAAATCACCCTCCCAATTTCAGTTTTAACTGTCTGTCCTGAGAACTTTGATCTCTTGTCATTTGATGCTGTTTGCTGATAAGCACAGTAATATTTGCTGTTATATATGAGGTGTATTTAACTTGCCTCTAATGGCTGAATTTAAGGCAGGTCTCGTTATTTCTGGCCCTTTTTCAGACTGATTTTGGTGGCTTATTTTCCTTGTAGAGATTCAGAGAGTGGACAAACCCATCTCTGGGAGATGTTATTTAATATCTATCAAAGCAACCCCAACCACTTATCTTGAAGCTTTGTGTCCCCAGCTTGCTGTAATTTGTGAATAATTTGGCAGCTGGCTTTCATATAAAACAAATAAAAATAAACTCCATGCCTTCAGGATATGTGCAAGGATTTTTTTTATATTAAATACTTGAAGGAAGAAGCTTTTGCAGTTGGGCTGCAGCTGAGTGTAGGTGTTGCCATCACCTGGGATATTCAGTCAAAAGTGAAGGTGGGAAATGCCCTGTGATTTTCTTTTCTCAGGTTGCAGAATCAGAATGCTGTGTGGATATGTTGGATTCCAACAGTTCCTGTCCAGCCACCAACCAGTGCAGCCCAGGTACAGATTGTCAGTGCTTAATTAATAACATCATGGAAGGGTTTTTGGGTGGGGAAGGACCTTAAATTTCTGCCTCTTTGGGGAGGAAATACCCAAAGAACAGGAATAATTTGTCTCCAGTGTTGTTTTTTGTGCTTTTCATGTGCCTCTGTACCTGCTGTTCCTGTGCAGGTTGTTACAGGAGATGGAATGAGGATGGAAGCAGCAGCTGCATTAAATGCAAAAATGAAACCCTGCCTGTTTTCTCTGTTTACAACCTGACTGAGTGCAGAAATAGTGAGTCATTTACCAGCTGTTTATTATGTGGTTCTTTTTTTTAGCCCTGACATCTTTTCTTTGCATCTTTGGTCCAGCAAAGACTCTTCAAAAGAAGGCCTCAAATATTGCAGATTTTTATTCCCCTTCCTTTGTAAAACTTTCCCAAAGTCCTCATATAACACCCAACAAAACCTATAGGAAGTTGGAAATTCAGTGCAAAGAAGCTGCAGAATGATGTGGAATCATCCTAAAAAAGGGGGAAAAAACCCTTCAAAATCTTGTTGTGCAAAGGCAAATGCAGCATTAAATAAAAAGGATGAAATAAAACAGTCCTAAACACCGAAATTATTAAACTTCCATTCTTTTTAATTGCAGCTGGTAGCAGAGGGATGAATTTCCAAATGAACATAAGCACTGTAACTCCTTTCTTACAGAACATAGGTAAGTGGTTTTGTTCTTATTCCCTGGGTAAAATAGGTTTTATTTCATTATTAGCTTTTGATTTCTTGAATAGGGTTTATTCTAAGTGGAGCAGCCATTTATTTATTTATTTATTTAATCTTTTCTAGCTTATTCTCTTACCTTTTATAAATCTGAGCTGAATTTTGAGGTCATTCTTTTGCTGAATGATTCTTTCCCCTTGTGATCTACAAGTGATTTTCCTGGTACAGCTCGAGCTGCTTTATCAAACCACACCAGCTGAGTTTTGAACCTTTAATGCTGCAAGATTTTTGGGGGGTTTAAAAGACTTGGACACTGGGAAGAAAAGCACAAATTGGGAATATTTAGGCAGCAAGAGACTGGATAAAGTGATTTAGTGTTAGAAGGGGTTCAGTGTTTCCTAGAAGGCAAAGCTCCAACAGCCCTGGTGAACGTGGGAGCTGCTGATCCCTTCCTGGTCTGTCTTCTCATGTCTATATTCCTAATTTGAGGCATTTACTGCCCTTCAGAACATGCACTTCTCAAGCAGAGAATGAATATCAGGACTTTGATCTTTTATCTGTGGTTTAACCCTTTCATCAGAAGAGATTTCTGTGTTTTCTCTCCCTTTATAAAGTGGGTTTTTTTTTGCACAGGGGGCCCAGAAGTGGCAGCTTCTCTCATCCTGGGGACATTTTTCATCAGTTTGTTCCTGATTCTCTCTGTTGCTTCCTTCTTCTACCTCAAACGTGCCAATAAACTTCCTAACATTTTCTACAGAAGGAACAAAGGTAAAACTGTCCATTGTCTGTTAAATCTCTCAACTGTCTATTAAATCTCTAAAATGAGCTCTGCTTGGTTTTAATTTGATTTAATTTCTTCCTGTGTGCTCTAACTCAGTGTAGCTGCTGCTGGTTTTTCTCATCATCCAAAGCAACTCCATTTTTATTCGTACTTTCATTTTTTTCTGGCTCAAAGGGACATTTTCCCAGTTGAAACCTCTGGATTTTCCTCCTTTGGAAGCAAAATAAGTCCCTTTGCAACCCTTTATCTCCAGTCTTGAGGAGAGTCCTGCACAGAGTGTATCCCACTGATGGATTTCCTGACTGTCCTGCTCTGCTTTGGGGGGGTTTTTGGGACAAAACTATTCCATGCATGGATGTATTTTTGGAAAAGGGTTCATCTCTCTCTTTCTCTCTCTCTTTTAGCATCTGTTCTCCAGCCTAGTGAAACAGTAAGTAAATCCTGCTCTTCCAACAGGCAAATAAAGCATCAACTAAACCATAATTTAGATTGTAACAGCTCATTAATGAGCTCCTTAATCTGATATATGAGACTGGAATAAAAATAAAAGATGCTTTGGGGTTATTTGTCCAAAGTGGGGGTGAAAATGAATCCAGACCATCTGGATTTCTGGCTCCCACTGAGTGATTTTTTTTCTTTTTCCCCCAAGAAAAACTATAGACAGTAAATATTATTGAAACCCTGCAACGTTGCTGTGGGGTTTCTTTTTTTAATGAAAGGCTCTGAAAAGATGCTTTTTTTGACATGATGATTCTCCTGTTCTGTGCAGGCATCCATGATACCTCCCCCAGCTTCTTCAGGTGAGGAACTGCTGCCTGGGATTTGCTGCTCCAACTATTTCACCCCAAAAGCAGGGAAAAAAACTTCTCTCCATGCTGAGAATCCCGAGCAAGTCCAAATAATCATCTGTAAAGTTGGTTTAGAACTGAGGGAATCTGTTGTGGGGACAGAAATCCAATGAGATCTGTCCAGTTAAGGCCTTTTGGATGGGATTTATTGCTTTAATTAATGAAGGCACTGGTATTGATGGAGCACTCGAGGTGAAAATAGATCTGTGACAGCTCCTAAAATAAACCTTCCACTCCTCTGTCCTCACCCAGAAGTCCTACAAGGAGATGCAGTATTTTTTTTTCATGAGTAAATTATTCAGTCTCTGGGTTTATTTTCAGGATTAGATTCTTCCTGGCAATGCCAGGTTGGCTCATTTTCAGACTTGCTGGTTTGAAGCTTTCTCAGCCTCTTGAAAAACAGCTTTCACAGACTGCTTGGAACACACTATTTTGGAAGGGGGGTGTCGGTATTTTGGCTCTTTTGGGCAAAACCCTTGCAGAAATGAATTTCTCAGGGAAGATTTCCTCTAACCAAGATGGTGTCATTAAAAATTAATTTTTTTTTTTAATGCACTCTTTAACTTTCAGACGTTTTTGAGACGTGTCCCAGACTCGGGCTGGGCTGTTGAACTGACAAGTGCTGCTTGTGGAAAGCCTTGGTTGCTTTGCCTTTAATTTATCCACCTGAGGGAGGGATTTTTAGCCCCTTGCCATGCCAGCCCACCCTTTCCATGAGGAAATTAGGGATACAGGTGTGTTTATCAGCAGGTGCTGACGATGTTTCTGTGCCTTTCAGTCCGGAAGCCGCGATACGTCCGCCGGGAACGGTCCCTGGTCACCTCCAGCTCCGCTGCCATCATCTCCTCCTCTGACACCAGGGTCAGCAATGTTTAACCTTCACTCCTGACAGAGGACTGGGAGCGTTCATGGTGTCAAAGAACCTTTCTCTGAACCCACTGAAGTGCCAGGGAAACGTTGCAAGCAGCTGACCCCGAACAGAAACCAAACTACCGCGGGCGAGGGTTTGTGCCAAATGTCCTCCCGGGGATGAAGTGCTGGAGGTGACACCCCTGTTGTAGGAACTCCTCTGCAATGCACTATTCCAGCTCTGGGGGCTCCTTTCTCTCCTGCAGGTGCTGTGTTTGAAATCTGTAAAGAATCTGCCTTTCTTTGGAACTCTCTCTGTCCTTGGCGAGCTCTCCCTCCCCGTGTTGTGACAGTGTCCCTGTGTCCCCAGGGCTGACTGGCTCCACAAAATCCCGGGAATGCTCCAGGCTGTGGACTTGAGGAAGGGAGCCACTTGTGAGTGGGAACACTGGAGTGCCACTGCTTTAACAGCACAACAATAATTAACGTGCAGAATCCTTGGGAAGCAGGAAATGATGCCTGTGGAGCATCCTGTGCCACAGCTGACCCTGGGGTTTAACCGTGACTATTGACCCACCCTCCTGCCACTGCTGCTCCTGGTGCTTTGGAAGGCCATGCTCAATATGGGTCCAATCCCAAGGGTGGGAATTTCTTGGGGGGGAAGTTTTTCTCGATTGGGTTCAGCTCAATCCTGGGATAAGGAGCTGTTTGCTGGGGCTTTGCAGCTGAGAGGCTGCACAGTCTGTCCCCTGCTGGCTGGGCCACCTGGGAGAGCAAAATTCCTGTCAGGCACGTCAGTGAGGGGTGGGATGAACTGGAGAGGTCAGGGGGACTCCTGCCAATGCAATAAGGGCTTTCTTTGGTCAGGCCCTTCACTAACACACCTGAAATCTGCAGGCCAGCACCTTAGGACAGAGCTCAGCAGGGATTTCCTTCTTCAAACACCAGCCTAAAACCCCCACACACCCTGGATATTGTCCCTGCCCTCTCTGTGTGCCTGAGGAGTCGCTCCCTCAGGGAATTAGAGGAGCTGTAAAATCACTTTTTTTCCTGCCTAGATTCTCCTTCCCCAGTTCTTTTCCTGGCAGGGGTGACTCTGTTGCCATGTGAACCCATACTGGGCATACTGGGACGGGCCTGAGAGTGGGTGACTGGGAAAATCAGTGGGAAAAAAAGAGGTTGCTGAAGTGGTGGAAGTGTCACTGTCACCTTCTGTGAATTCTATCTATGCATCCCCACCTACCTGTGTTGCTGTTGCCTCTTTTGGTTGAGCTGCCACTCCACTCTGGCTCTGTGCTCCTAAAATAAATCCTTTGGAAGCTTTTCCTCAGCATCCACTGGCAGGAATGAGGAACTGGAACAGTTGGTTCTCCTTTTTTCAGGAAAATGAGGATAAAACTGCCTTGATCTGACAGTGTCACCCATATGGAGGGCCCAGAACTTGTGTCATCCACATTCCCTCTTCTCTGGGGTTAAAAGCTTCTTCAAAGAGGACAACTGGGATGGGAGGAGATAAATTTATCTCCTTGAGTAGAGCCATTTTCTGGAAGTTGCAGTGCAGTTGTATTTTTGCTCCCTCACAGGTGGTGAGATCCTTGTAAAAATCTACAGGGGCTTTAAAAAGAAAATCATGAAGAGGTTCCTGTGCCAAAAACAACCAAACAAACAACAAAAAAACCCTGAAACTTCACATTGATGATAAATAAAATTATTGATCTACCAGACAGGCAATGCCAGTTTTCAGCTTTCCAGGGGAAATGTGCTTTATTTGGGATGCTCCCAAGCTCCTGAGCTTCGGGAGGTGGCACTTTCGTCGCTCTCACTTCCATGTCTTTTTGTCTTCGTGCTGCTGAGATTTTTCCCACAGGCAGAAATCATGTCTGGAGCTTTTCCCTGAGCTGACTTGCTGAGTGTGTTCCTGACTGCTGAGGAAAAGGAGTAACTATGCAAATAAATGCCAAGAAACTGCACCTTTGGAAAGCAGGGAGTTTGTATTTGTGACCCTGTCCGTGGCAGTGCATTCTTGTGTTGCTCAGTTGCTAATATATTGTCCTTTTTTTGACCCAGAAATTACTGAAGGATCAGGTCACTGGAGTGTCTGAACCCTCTTGATCCCTCGAGTGCACGTTGTAACTTGGTTTAATGTCCAGTATCTAAAGCTCTAACTCTGTGCAGTCGAGTTTTTCTCGGTGACAACACCTCTCTCACACCCAGCAGACTTTTAACTACAGCAGAGATTTGTACTATTTTCTGTGTTTCTGGTTTTGTTGCTGTCTAACCCAGTGAATTCCTGGTCTAAGCAGTTTGTTTGCACTGTCAAATTAAATATCTTAACGTGGTGGTTTGGTCCCCCCCTCCCCATCTCCCTTGAAGATAATAATGCACACCTAGATATGTTTTAAAAAAAAAAAAATTTGGCTTTAACGATCCCTGATATTTAATGTATTTGTATATTTTTTAACTGTGTGCCAAAATAAACATATTTGAGCTTTCTTTTTCTTTTAATTTTAGTGGCTGTGGGGCTCATTCATGTGTTTCCTTTTCAAGCAGGGAATGAAGGGAGCAACATTAGCACCCGCAGCAGATCGTGGTTGCAGCTCATCTGGCTTGTTACTTCCACCAGAAACTGAAGCTAAAATAAACAAGGAAAAACAGTTTGGTGACTGTTCCTGCCCAGTTTCACATTGGGACAGTCAGGCTGTGTTGGAGAAATCGTATTTTCACACCCTTAAAAATCCTAAAAAAGCCTTACCTGTAGGAGCTCTTTTTGGCAGAGAATGTGCCTTTGGTGGATGACAGTTTTCAGATGAGTTTAAGTTCTCTTCAGTCTCCTTCAGGGAGCAGGAGGAGCAGGAAAACTCAGGGACAAAGGTGGCAGGAATTGAGATAATCGGGACCATTTCTTCGTGATTGAAATGAAGATGATGGCCTGGGGTTTGGGAAGGTTGGACATCATCCCCCCCACCTCATCTCTGCTTCATTTTTAAAAGGGATTTATTTTTATTTTTCCTCTCCTTTCCTTTCCCTCCCTGGGAATTTGGGACTTCCTGCAAACGTATCCCAGGTTCTTCCCTCCCGTGGCCAAAAGGATCCAGACACCGAGGGCAGAAGGCAGGGAAGTGGGGGATGATGCTCTGAAACACCCATGGTTAAACTCAGCAGCCTTTTTCTCCCTCCCAAACTCCCTGATTTAGGTGGAAAAGCCTGCCTGGAATGGGCTGATGAGGAAGGACAAGCCCAAAGCTGCCCTCTGTGCACAGTCACTGTCAGAGCCTCATCCCAGCAGGAACGGGCTTGGAAAACGATCCCAGGGGGATGAGGAGGCTTAAAATGGGCTCTGAGCACCAAGGTGGAACAGCCTTTGGAGGAGGAGGAGGAGGAGCTGAGTGTCCTTGTCATCAGTCAAGGAGCTGGCAGAGCTGGCAGTGGATGTGCCCCCAGCGGGGAGCAATTTTTGAGGCCGCATTTTGCACACCCGAGCAGAGCTGCTCCCTCATCTGCACCTCAAGGTGAGTGCTCTGACAGTCACTCCTCAAGATTATGAAGTCTAAAAGCTCAGTCAAATCTCTTCCCCAGCTCCAGGCCCTCCGAAATTGTGACACACACACACACTCTGAAACGTTTTTGGGGATGAAATGCGTGAGTTTGGCCAGACTGAGGGCTGAAGCTTTTGAGCAAACATCGTGACTCGGGTTCCAACCTCCCCTCCCCGAGGGATTAATAATCAAAGTTCACAGCAACTTGTGTTCTCAACTTCTCTCTTGTGTCTTCCTTTGCAGGGTGGTTTATTTTTTTCCCCCCTGTTTTTCTTCCCCTGCCTCCGTTAACAGGGATCTCTGCTTGGAAATACACCTGGGATTATGGGGCCAAACCTAATTTCTTGAGAGATTTGAAAGTTCCGCAGTTCCACAGGATGTGATCTAAGAGAATGGGAGAGCAGGAGAGAATCCTAAACTGCTAAAAAAAAAAAACAAACCCTTGAGGCTGTCTCAGCTCCTTGAGATTTGTGGATAAGTGGCAGGGGGGATTGGATGCAGTGGTCACTGGCTCCTGCCAGAGCTCAAGAAGTGTTTGGACAGGGCAGGATTGTTGTGCCAGGAGCTGGATTTTGATCCCTGTGCGTTCCTTCCAGCTCAGGCTGATTGCTTGAAATGCTGTGTGTGACCTTGCAACCAATTCCTTGCCCCCAGAATTAATTTATTTGTCGTTTTTAGTGCTTTCAAATCGAACAACTCGTTTCAGACACACCCCAGGGCTCAAGGGTCTTGCACCCCCTCTTTGCTCCCCAAGGCTGTGAGCGAGCTCTGCTGAAATATCTGAAGCTGCTTTGCATTTCTGTCATTTATTTTTAATGCTCCCTCGGCGAGGAAGGGGGGCCAGGGGTGGGGAAATTGAAATGATAAAGTGTTTATTATCACTTTAATGGCCTTGACATATTTTTTATTGCCACCAGATTGGAGGCCCCGGCGTTCTGATAATTGTGCTTCCCGTTTCAGAGCCTGGTGATTTATGGCCCTCAGGAAAGGAGTGTGCAAAAGTGGGTTTAGATGATGGTTTCAGCAGGATGGGCTGCAGCTCTGAGGGGTTTGCTCCAAGTGATTGGATTTTTTTTCTCTCCCCACCCTGTTCTGGATTGGGAGGGGTTGGGTTTAGATGTGTCCCCCTGATTTTGTGATGGAGGTTGGTTATAAAATTTTTATATATTAAATATATTTTTATATTTATATATTTTAAATAAATATATATATCACAGAATTATGGAATGGTTTGGGTTGGAAGGGACTTTAAAGATCATCCACCCTTCCACACCTTCCACTATCCCAGCCTGCTCCGAGCCCTGTCCAACCTGGCCTAAATACAAATATATATGTATTTTTATATCTATATATATGCACACAGACACACACACAGAGTGGAACTAATTTTAAATGCTGCTCAAACTCTTTTTCTTTTTTTTTTTTTTAATTTTTTTTAGAGCTTGAAACAGCTCCAGGAACGTTTTGAGCAGTAATTGCACTGCAGATAATTCAGGAATAAGTTAACTACGGGGAAGGCATCTTGTTGGCATATGCAATGTGATAGATTACATAAGGAACTGCTGGTTTGGAACGTTTTGGGAAATGAGCTGGGAGTGGGAAGGTTCAGGACCTCTCTTGACTTGAGGGCACTTGTGATCAGCTCTGCCTGCCACGAGGGGGAAACGCTTCTCATTCAGCAGCCGCTGCCAAGTCACACCAAGCCCAAAATCATTCCTGGCTGCTGCAAAATGTGGGTTTGGCAGCCACTTCCCAGCACGGGGCTGGCCGTGGCCATCCAGAACTGGGAATTCTGGCGATGGGGTGGATTTTCCAGAGCGGTTCTGCTGCTGCTGCCCTCCCTGCAGAGCTGCAGTCGAGGGTGATCCGCATCATTTCCCAGCACCACGACCCCTTTCTGGGTGAAAATGGAGCTGGAAAAAACAAAACAAAACAAAACAAAAACATCAAAACCAAAATAATTAAAAAAAAAAAAAAAAAAGGCAGGGAAAATTTCAAATTGAAGTGATGAATCCTCCAAAAAGCTGCCAGTGGGTGGCCCCAGGAAAATGATTCCTAAACCCCTCCAAAATTGCCTGTCTTTTGGGTTTGAACCTCTCTGCTGGGGTGTTTTCTTTGTGCCGTTCTGGCTTCACCAAGCTCAATTATTCCTGCCCTCAACGAGCCCCGGGGCTTTCCCAGTGCCGGGAAAGCACATCCTGCCGACTGTAAACCTTTTAAAACGTATTTATTTTGGCAATCCTCGGCCTGGAAGGGCTGTGATTTTTGCAGTTGGGCTTGGTGTTTCACGTAACCAGGAAGACAGGTTTTAGCACAATAAAAAAGGAGTGATGTTTTCTTAAGAAAAACATCCCTGGGATGTTCGGTCAGCCTGGGGCTGATCAGGGTTTTCCTGCTGGAAAATAAGGTTTTCCTGCTGGAAAATAAGGTTTTCCTGCTGGAAAATAAGGTTTTCCTGGTGGAAATCTAAGTCTGGCTTACAGAAAATACAGGTCTAATTCCTTGACTAGGCTGGACGTTCTCGACCTTGGAGGTGGAAAGTGAGTAAAAATATTTAAAAGGGGGGAAATGCTGCAAATTTATGACTGCAGGAGAGTTTACTTTGGGTTTTCTCTTATTTTGGGGAGGCAGAAATAGCTGAATTCCCCATTCCCAGGAGCTCCCAGAGATTCCCCCCCTGTGGAAATAAGAGGTACCAGGGCCCTGCTGGCTCCATCTCTGTGTTCTGGTGATCCAGGATCAGATATATTGGATTTTATTATCCCCTGGAAGGCACAAACCTCTGCTCAGTCCACTGGCAGCTCTGCCATTCTTCCCAGCCTGCCAATCAAGCAGCTGTAAATGAGCATCCATTGTTAATTACTTTTACCCCAATTTCCAAGGAGGATGGCAAAGATTCTACCTCAGTTAATTGCCTGATAGATTTGGGTGTGCTCTGAACCACACACTGCTGAAAACCTTTGGGGCACTGGCTTTTTTTTCTTTCCCTTTATTTAAGGATAATTAAAAAAAACCAAACTTAATTCAACTGCAGTACAATTTAACAAAAAAAAAAAATTCACTTAAAAAAAAAATAAATTAACTACCTGGAGAAACCAAGAAATTCCAAATTGAATTGCTCCAGCCTAAGTGCTCCATTGTAGTTCTGCTCTCGTGATGTGGGAGACTTTATAATTGTTATCTCTTGAGAGGCATCAGCTTAAATCTGCTCTCAACAATAATCTTCCTCTTTTTTTTTTTTATATGTGTGTGTGCTGTATCAGTTCAGTTTTATCATTTTTTAACAGGGCTGAGCAGGTTTAAACCTTGAATGATTCCTTTGGGAACAGAAAGGCAGGGAATGGGATCAGCTGCAGACTGAGAGTGTCACGAGCCCCTGGGACATTTCATGGACTCATGGAATGGTTTGGCTTGGAAGGGACCTTAAAGCCCATCCCATTCCAACCTCCCAGGTTGCTCCAACCTGGCCTTGGACACTCCCAGGGCTGGGGCAGCCACAGCACAACCTGTGCCAGGGCCTCCCCACCCTCCCAGGGAAGGATTTATTCCCAATATCCCATCCAACTAACTAAAGTTTAGATTAGAAATTAGGCTTAGATTAGATATTAGGAAGGAAGTCTTTGCTCTGAGGGTGCTTTCCTGCACAAAGCAGTTCCCGCTGCCCCAGACACTGCCTGATTATTCTGATTATTCCTGCTCTTACCAGCATCCCAGTAAATCCTGTTTGCAGACAAGGCAGATATCACTGCTGGGCCATTTTTTACAGCTCTTTATTGCTGGGTGACACAAAGTCCAGGGCCATGACCTTTGGAAAGCTCTCACTCTCCCCTAAAGGAATTCCATGAGCAAATCACTGGCTTTTCTTGCTGATTATTGCAGGGAACAAGTCCCCCTGCCTGATATTTTTTGGCACAGCTTCCCACCCAGCCCGGTGTCAGTCTGTCACTTGATCTGTGTGCCCCCAAAAGT